TTTTGAGAAATTCGATCAACCTTATTTGGAAAGCAACCGGTAGAAAAGTTGTTACTGTTACTTTCAATAACCAGTTATACTTAGTAACCATCTTATTAGATAATGGAACCAATGCTACCGTAAATTTAGAAGTACCAAGAGCAAAAAAAAATTTTGTTGTATAATATTTGAATTTCTGAATATGCAACAATAACTGAATTTTTTTTAGAGAATTGCTGATAACTATTTTACTGACAGCCCATTTTACTGACTAGAGTTGCACTAATATTAACTCTAATTCTAACTGACTCTAACAAAAATGACCAGAATTACTTTGTCAGTGAAATGACTGTTGGTAAAATAACTGTAGGTGTCAGCGAATTGACTGTCAGTGAAATAGGCTATCATTGAAATGATTGTTGGCAAAATGAGCACCATCCTTTTTGTTTTACTTGTATTTGTGATTTATATAATATTTATGACAAATATTTATTTTTGTATTACTTATTTAAAGTATATATACTTTATTTGATACTTTTGTATAACATTATATTACAGGTATAGTATATAAGTTTAAAACTAAAAGTCTTATTAAACGTATTCAGTTATTTTTTTCATTTTGTTTAAACAAATTTCACATTCTTTTATATATATAATTTTTTGAGTATTTTTATTTTATATTTTAAAATATGTCTCAATCAAATAAAAGAAAAAAAACTATTATAACAGCTAAACAAAAACAAGAAATATGTTTAAAAAAACTAGCAGTTCCAGCACCTACAAATAAAGACTTGGCTCTTGAATATTCTGTTGGTGAATCAACTATACATGATATTCTTAAAGAAAAAACTAAATCTAAAAAAGGTTCTAAATGGCCATTATTAGAAGAAATATTATGGCTTTGGATTCAAGGAGCTCTTGGAGCAGAAATGGATCTTTTTGACAGAATTTTACAAAGAAAAGCTATTCAATTTGCAGGCACATTTGATATAGCTGAATTTAAAGGTTTTGCTGGCTGGGTAGCAAAATTTAAAAAGTGACACAATATTTCTGAATATAAAAAAACTGGAGAAAGTGCAAGTGCTGCATTGGCAATTCTTCCAGAAGAAAGAAAAAAAATACAAGATACTATTTTTAATGGATACTTTAAATTGGAAGATATTTTTAATGTAGATGGAACTGGATTGTTTTGGAAACTTGAACCTAGCAAAACATTAGCTACTCATTCTATTAAAGGTCACAAAAAAGCAAAAGAAAGAGTAACAATTTTACTTGTTGAAAATGCAGCAGGTACTGAAAAAATTGTTCTTATTTTTATTGGTAAATCTAAAAATCCTAGAGCATTTAGAAAAACCAAAAAAACTGATATTACTAAAATCAAAGTTCAATATGAAAATAATAAAACAGCATGGATACAAGTATCTATTTGGAATAAATTTTTATTAGATTTAAATAATAAAATGGTTATTCAAAATCGTAATATTTTATTATTAATTGATAACTGTTCTGTTCATAAACTTTTATCAAGTACAATACTTACAAATATTCAAATTTATAATTTACCACCAAGAACTATTTCACATCTTCAACTATGTGATGCTGGTATTATTCATAGTTTTAAAGCCCATTATCGTAAACTTTTTGTTGATAATAGAATTGAAGCTTATGATGTTATTGGAAACACAACAAATAAATTAAAAGAATTTACTATTTTAGATGCTTTTAAACTTACTGAAGAAGCATAGAAAAATGTTACTGAAAAAACTATTAAAAACTGTTGGAAATCTACAGGAATTTTACCAAATTTTTTGACAGATGGAACTCCAACACTTTTAACTGCAGTCACTACAAATATCAATACTAATTCTAGTACTATTAGTACTGTTAGTACTAATTGTACAAGAGAAAGTAGTCCTATTAATTATAAAAATCAATCTACTACAATTTTTCATAATAGTATTATTGCTACTAATAATGAAGGCGCAACTACTCTTCATAAAAGTAGTACAACTAATATAAACAATATGACTACTATAATTCAAAATAATATTATTACTATTAATCAACATGGTATTATTACTTCAGTTCAGAATAATACTATAACAAAAAATTTTGTTGATTTAAATAATAATGAAGCTCAATTAGCCAAACAAGAAATTTTAAATGAACATACAAATGAATTAAATAAAATTCAAGAATCAATAAATCA